ACCTGGCGCAAGGAAGAGGGGCGGCGGGGGGAGGGGCGCAGTGCGGTAGGGGAAGAGACGGTAGTAAGGCACCGGCTCGTCAAAGGTGACGTCCTAAGAAGGACAGAACACGGCGCGAGGTGGGGTGGTAGAACTGCCACCCAGGCGCGTCAGGGGGGAAGCCAAGGAAGACGCAAGGAACAGCACGGGGGGACAGCTTGTCCGCAGACAAGTCGCGGACAAATGCCCGAGATCCCCAGACCCGAAACGTAGACGCAACGCCAACCTTCTCCGTCCACCGCAAGGTGGGGGAGGTCTCTTGCAAGGAGACCCGGGGCTGAAGGTTGAGCTGATGCGCCGCGTACTGAACCGCAAACGGCCACAGAAAATGGGGGGCAGCCGCATGGATCATGGACGTACGAGCGATGTCCATGACCATGCCAATGCGGCGCTCAGCAATCCCATTTCGCTGTGGAGAGGCCGGAAGCGTGAACGTCTGGCGGATGCCCTGTGCACAACAGAAGGCTCCCAGACGGGCAGAGGAAAACTCCCCGCCTCTGTTAGAGTGCAGACGCAGAACAGGAAAGTCCGAGCCGAAACTCTCTCTGAGCTGGAGACGAGCTGCGCGGATCCAGTCGATCAACACCTCAGTGACGTCACCCTTGCTGCGCAAGGGGAACACCGTGGTGTAACGCGAGTAGTCGTCAACCAACAACAGGAAGCAACGCTCGTGACCCTGGCCACGGACGCGGGCGGGGCCCCACACGTCCATGTGAAGACTCTGCAGCGGAGCCTCTGTCGGAGGAAACTCGGAGGAGTGAGGGGCGGCGCGCTGCCGCCCCTCGACGCAGGGAACGCAGTTAGGGGCAGGCCCCGGAGGTAGGGGAGGGAGGGACCGGGGGAGACCAGAGACAAGGACACGGGAGGCCATGCCTCGGAGACGAGGCAGGGAGGGGTGACCAAGGCGGTGGTGCCAAAGGCGAGTCTGGTGGGACAAGAGACGACACGAGCAGGGAGCAGACTCAGGACCAGACCTGGACGCTGCAGCAAACACCTGACTCGACGCAGCTACCTGACCAGACTCAGCAACCAGAGGAGACTCAGTAGTCAGTGTTTACAGGCTCGACCCCGGCCGACGGGTAAACGTGGCCAAGTGTCGGCCCATCCGAGCACACGTACATTGGGTCACCCGCTGACTCGCAGGAGTGAACTGGTCAACCCCCCTATCCTGTAGATCAGCTCCACTTACCAAGTTTGTAGAGAACGAGGGGAGGTAGAGACCTGACAGGGTGCCAGAGGGGGCTTCCAGACACGGTAAGACAGTGGAGAAGCGAGCAAGGACAGGACCCCCAGAGGGGTCCGCCAGGGAGACCGCAATCGGCTGACTAAGCGGCGTAAGCGTGGTGCAGTCTCGAAACAAGGAGCGGGAAGCACCCGAGTCAAGGGTGAAGGTGTGTAAGGCCTGAGCCGACGTGGTACCTGAGAGAGTAGACTCACCAGCACCTGGGGCAGCAGACGCACTAGCACCTAGAGCAGCAGCCTCACCAGCACCTAGAGCAGCAGCCTCACCAGCACCTAGAGCAGCAGCCTCAATGCCCAGGTCAGGCGGAACACACAGGTAACAGTCACCCTCATCACTAGTAGACACAGCATATATGGCAGCAAGAATGGCATCATAATCAAGATCAAAGAAAGCAACCCCCGCCCTAGACAGCTCTCCCCAGCGAGGGATCTCAGTGGCGTCAGGGAACTGGTGACGCCACGCGTCCGTCAGGTGGCCGAAGCAGCGCTGGGTGGAGTGCGGGCCCCCGCACTGCTCACCAGCGCGGTCGCCGGTACGGAGGACGTAGGAGCAGGGACCAGTACCCCCACCTCGCTGACGCCCAGCGTACCACTCACGAAGCTGCTGGGGGGACGGGGTCTCACGACTGCGCTGCTCCTGCTGGCGCGGACCACCACCAGAACCACTCCTCTGCGCAGAGCCGCGACCAGCTCCACCGCTGCCGCCGCCGCCTCCGCCACCTCCGCCGCCTCCGCCACCTCCGCCGCCTTGGCTCCCTCTGCCACCGCCGCCGCCTCCTCTGCCTCCATTGCTGCCATCGACACCTCCACCCCCGCCACCACTCCCACCACCACCCCCACCCCCTCCACTGCCTCCACCACAACCTTCACCGCCCCCGCCAGCCCCTCCAACGCCCTTGCCCCCCTTGCCCTTGCCGGTGCGGCGTCTCCCGCTAGGGGCAGACGCAGCGCCGACCGACTCGAAACCAACGAGGTCGGTCGCAGCAGCAGAAGCAACAGAAGGCAAGAGGGGGGAGGGGGAACACCCCTCAAAGACGGGGGTGAGAGGGTCATCACGAGAGGCTCCTACAGCGACTATGCTCTTTTCTGCTACTAGGAGGCGCTCCTCAAGGAGGTCAACGGTGAGTGTGGTGGGGCAAACTGAGAGGAAGTGGTCCCTGACTAAGCGAAGGGAGTGAGGGAGCCGGGTGACTATGTAGTAGAGGGTGATGTACATGGGGGGGGGGGTTCTTGGCACCGAGCTCAGCAGGTTGCGCAGCGCAGTAGCGAGTGTCACTAGTGCGAAGGTGCGTAATGAGGTCAGCGATTGTGGGAAAGGCAGCAAGGTCAGGGAACAGGTACGGCAGCATGAGGCGGCTAAGAGCAGCACTGGCAGGGGAAGAGTATTGTGCAACTACAGCGTCGTACAAGGTCTTAGCACTCTTGTACTGACTAAAGTGCGCACGCTCAGTGGTCGGTAAGTGGCGACGCACAGCAAGGCGGGCAGCAGCGTCGCGTGTGGCCCACTGTGAGCGAACAGTGTTGTCAGCAGTAGAAGGCGGGGCAGGAGAGGCACCAGAGGTGAGATCGAACAGGGAGAGTCCGTCTGCCCTATCGCACTGTAGGAACAGCTGGAGGTCATCGACCCAGACCTCAAAGTCAACAGCACGACCCTCAGCATCAAAGGTAAGGACACTGGGGGTAGCCATGTGAGCAGTGGTCTAGCAGGGAGTGATCTCACCAGTCCGAGTGAGTGGGGCCGGGGCGCGCCGGTAGGAATAGGGCTGTAACCGCGGTGGCAGCGGCTCGGCAGTGACAGTAGCGGCTCGACGGCAGGGCGGCTCGGCGGCTCGGCTGCTGGGCGGCTCGGCGGCTCGGCTGCTGGGCGGCTCGGCGGCTCGGCTGCTGGGCGGCTCGGCGGCCGGCTGCTGGGCGGCTCGGTGGCTCTGTGGCTCGGCTGATGGACGGCTCGGCGGCTCGGCTGCTCGGCTGCTGGGTGGCTCGGCTGCGCGGCTGCTGGGCGGCTCAGCGGCGATGGGGCCGGTAGAGGCGGCGACGGGGCCGCGAAGGGCGGCGACGGGGCCGCTAGAGGCGGCGACGAGGCCGCGAAGAGCGGCGACGGGGCCGCTAGGGGCGGCGACGAGGCCGCGAAGGGGCCGTGAGGGGCCTAGAGGGGTGGCGACGGGGTCGCAAAGGACGGCGACGGGGCTGTAAGGGGTGGCGACGGGGCCGCTAAGGGTGGCGCGAGGGGCCCCTAGGAGGGCGCGACGTGAGGGCGGCCTACGGGGCGCGCCTCGGGCAGGAAAAAAAAAGGTCGAGTTCAGTGGTGGGCCCTGAGAAGCGTTCCCACGAGGGAACCTGCTCTATACCATGTGAAGAATGAGGAATGAATGAACTAGGAAAAAAGGTGGGTACAAGTAGGAAAACCTAGAAATGTTGTACCCCATATTGTCTACCCCACTACAGCCTACACAGACTATAGCATATAAGTTTGACAGGCAGAACCCTACAGTGCCCATGACGCCGAGTCCGGACAACCCAACGCCACGTGCACAGCAATTCGGCGTGACGCTGAAGCAATTAAAAAAGCAAATGCCATCGCTAAACGCAACGCTGACCGCCATCGCCGCCCAGTCACATACCAGTCAGGAGACTACGTACTGCTCGACACACTGAACTTAAGACTGCCCGTTGTACCGAAATTGCGACCGCGTTATTGTGGACCATTCCATATCAGCCACATGATTACCCCAGTGACAGCACACTTACTGTTGCCGACAGACTGGTACATCAGCCCTTCATTCCACGTCAGCCTGCTTCGCCCCTACATCCCAACCACAAGCCAACTGCCTCGTCACCGCCCGCCATCCATGACTCGCCCTGCATCGGAGCCGATCATCGAGCCCGAAAAAATCCTGAGCCATCGGATTCGACACCCCACGGGAATAAGGAGGATTGAATTCCTCGTCCGCTGGAAGGATCGCACGCCAACTGAGGATAGTTGGGTGCCCTTGGCCAACATCGAAAACCACCCTGCCCTGCAAGTGTACCTGAGGAGCCGGGGTTTTCGCGATATACACGCACTCGCGTAGAGGAGGGGGCTGCTTGAGGGGGGGGGTAGTGTAAGGAATTTTCTCGACATTCCTTAGCGCGCACTACAACATCGCGTACAGCAGCAGCCGTTGTTCGCCCGTTACTGCTAACGGGGCTTCGTCGACTTCGCGCGCACTGTTTCACCAAACCTTGCACTGCTGGCCTGGCCGTGTCGGCCAACGCTTCGGGACTGGCCCAAGCCTCGCTGCCAGCATAGCACTAGCTAGCTCGCACACACCGCGTTACTGTTTGCATGTTTCGCGTATAAATGTTCGCTCATGCCTTCGCTCACAGTTTGTACTCGTTTGACACCTTAGTGCAATCCTCGCTACCTCGATTCATTGCACCCGTAACAGTTCTTCACATTCCGTGGCAAAGTTATAGGCCCCTCACAAACAGTAAATTACATGTGTATATTTCAAGATCGATGCATTGACAAGCTAGCAAAAAAACAACAGAAAAGCAAACTGGCAACTCGAAATCTCTCACAGTCGATTCCCCAATTCCTGCAAGGACCACAACAAACAAAACACAAATGTCGGTCTCCTTCAATGAAAGAAGAAACATTCAAGCCTAGATATCAAGCAACAAGCACCATGTCCTCAACCATCTCGTCACATCGCATCACATCCCATCACCTCATCACATCACACGTCCACCTTCCCCACCTTGTGCAACCATCCTCTAGCCAAATCAAGTGCCCCTTCTTTGCGCTCTCTCCCTGCCGCCCACTGCCCAATTCGCATGCCTTCACCATCACCCACTCCATTTCCATCTCCCACAACAGGCCGACGCCCGTGCGCGTAACCATGCAGTTGCGTAACACTAACATTGCTCAGGCCCTCGGACTCCCCACCTGCCCTTGTCCCCCCACTGCTGCTACCAAACGTGCTGCTGCCCCCTTGCAAGCCAACAGTGCTGCTGCTGCTCCGGTCACCACTCTCCAAGCGATTACCTCCATAACCTTTCTTTTTCACCTTCTCATCCCCCCACTCCTCCCCTCCTCGACTCCCCAAGTACACCCCATGCACTTTCCCCAAGTCACCCCCAACCTCCCCTTCCTCCTCTTCCCCCTCCCCCTCTTCCTCCTCCCCTTCTCCTCTCCCCCTCTCGCCCCCATTCACACCCGCTCCCAACTTCTTCCTCCCCCCACCATCCGCCTCCCACCCTGCCCCATTCGTCCACGCCTCCTCTCCCCCTGCCTGATGCTGCATGTATGGGCTATCAGGCAGACCATGCCTATAGGGCTGATAGTACTTATCGTACACATGAGCATGTGAGTGCTCGTGTGAGTGGTTATGATTATACCCATAGACAGCCCCTGTACCAGCAGCAGGACCTGCATTATTTTGTCCTCGTATCACCCCACCATTGGCACTGCCTTTTGGGTTGCCATTCGCATTCCCCCTTTTTTCTGAACCGCTCCCAACCACTGCAACCCCCACTTGCTGCCTCCGCCCATTCTCCCCCCACATCAGCACCCTTCCCCGCTCCCCCTTCCGCCCCTTCCCCCTCCCCCTCATCTGTGCCACCGCCCACAAGCCCAGCCCTGCGCTCATCACCCCCCCAACTCGCAGCACCACAGGCGGAACCCCCCCCACGCCGCCCCATTCCCCGCCCATCCCCCTCAGCACGCGCCAGCCGCCACTCACAGGCCACCCAACGGCCCTCAGAGCAACCCCCAGAGGGGTTCCGACGAGGCTTCCAAGCGCCCTGGGCACATGGAGAGCAGCAGCAAGTGCGTGGGGTACTGAATCACGGAGAGGATGCAGACGGCCTAGAGGGTCCGGGGAGTTGGGAGAGTCGGGAGAGTGTGGAGAGTGTGGAGTGTCTACACCAGGGAGTGGACTTAACACTTTCTTCTGCTCTGTTGAACTCATCTGAATCAACACCCTCTCCTCCTCACATTTCCCCTGCCCCTCCGCCGCTCGGCCCCCTCCTCCTCCTCCTCTTGCTCCTCTTCCTCCCTCCTCCTTCTCCTCCTCCTCCCTGCCTCCTTCCCCCTTCCCTGCTGCTCCTCGCCTGCCGCTGTTCTGACCCTTCCCTGCGCCACTCCTATTCCCTGTGCCGCTTCTGTTCCCCGTGCCGCTCTTGTTGCCCGTGCCGCTGTGAGGAGAGCTCTTCAAGTACGTCTGTGTGTGCGTGAGCGTGTGGTTAGGTGATCTCAATGGAGAGACCTTGCGACGGGGAACCGGGGCCATAAGAGCCTGCTGCTGCTGATAATGGTACGGCTGGTGCTGCCCGTATAGGTGCTGCTGCTGCTGGTGTTGATGTTGGTGTTGGTGTTGCCATGGCAGCACCCGCGGAAGAAACACACGCATTCCCCCCTGCCCTTGCCTCTCTGCGCGCCGCTGCTCCCCCTTCTCCCCCCTCTCCCTTCCGCCTCCTCCCCTCCTCTCCTCTCGTCCTCTCGCTCCCTTCCCCGCCTCCCCCGCCCCCTTTCCCAACCCTTCCGCGTTGCTCCCGCGACTGGCACAGCCTCCCCCGTCAGAGTCCCCCCCCTGCTGCGCAAACTCCAGCACGCGCACCACCCGCGGAATCCCCTCGTCACCAGCCATTACCCCGCCAAAGCCTCCACCCAGACCCTTTCCTTCCGCCCCGCGGACCACGTCCCCCTCCGCGCGCCGACAGGACACTCCGCCCTCCGCCGCGCCGTCCGCGCGCTCCTCCGCGCTTCCCCGGCGCAACTCACCCTCACGCTCCCCGCCTCCCTTTCCGCGCTGCCCATCCGCCGGGTCGCCTTCCACCGGTCCCCCGCCATCCGCGCGGACCCGGTCGCTGGCGCAGGAGCGGGGGGCGCGCGCAAGGGAGACCGGCGGGGACGACTGGTACGAGGACGGCGGTGCCGGCGGCGGCGGGAGAGGCGCGGGGAGCAACGCCGCTTTGACGCGGATGGGGGAGCGATGCCGATGGTGCGCCCGCGCGGGGACATCCGGGCAAGGTCGCGCGAGGGGATGCCCCTGCGCGGCGGCGTGCGCGTGCGCGGCGGCGTGCGCGTGCGCGGCGGCGTGGGCGAGCGCGGAAGCCTGGTGCTGCTTGTGGTGGCGCGCGGAGACGCGCGAGATGGCGGACGGGACGGCGGCGGGGGAGATGAGCGGAAGATACGTGGGGCCGGGGGGCGAGGGGGGGTAGGGGTTGAAGGGCGTGCATGCGACCTCCGCCGCGAAATGCAACACCTCATCGACGACCTGGGGGAAGAGGGAGGGGGGAGGGAGGGGGGAAGGGGAGGGAGGAGAAGGGGGAAGGGGAGGGGGGAAGGGGAGAAGGGGGGAGGGGAGGGGGGAAGGGGAGAAGGGGGAAGGGGAGGGGGGAAGGGGAGAAGAGGGAAGGGGAGGGGGGAAGAGGAGGGAGGAGAAGGGGGAAGGGGAGGGGGGAAGGGGAGGGAGGAGAAGGGGGAAGGGGAGGGAGGAAGGGGAGGGAGGAGAAGGGGGAAGGAGAGGGGGGAAGGGAAAGGGGAAGGGGAGGCGGGAAGGGGAGGGAGGAGAAGGGGGAAGGGGAGGGGGGAAGGGGAGGGAGGAGAGGGGGTTTTGAACATCCGTATTGTATATAGTTTGGGTGCGCAACGCAGCACCTCATCGACGACCGGAGGGGGAAGGGAACGTGGAAAGGGGAGGGGTGAAAGGGAGAGCGAGGAAAACGCGAGGGGCTTAGAAGGGGGTGAGGGGGAAGAGAGACCGCAGAGATTGGGGAGAGGTGGGGACAAGCAGCAGAGGATGGGAGATGGGAAAGGATGGGCATTCAGGCGGATGGGCGGATGCAGTAAGAGTAAGCACACAGGGCCGAACTCTCCCCCTCTCTCCTTCCCCTCCCCCTCCCCCTCTCCCTTTCCCCCTCTCCCTTTCCCCCTCTCCCTTTCCCCCTCGTCCCCCTCCCCTCCACCGCGCACCTTCCATTCGCGACCGCAGTGGCACTTGGCCTGCGACCACAGCACGCGCGTCACCAGCTGCACCTCGCGCACCACGCGCTTCTGCTCCGCCACGTTCCCCGCACCGCCCGCGCCCGCCGCCCCCGCCGCCGGCGCGCGAGACGTCGGGGTCTGCTCCGCTCCACCCCCCCCGCCACCTCCGGCCCCCCCTCCCCCGCGCCCATCCCCGCCCTTAAACCCCCCGCGCTGCTCCTCCTCCGCGCGCTCTGCGCGACGTTCCGCCATGACCGCCGCCGCCGCCGCCGCCGCCACCTGGCGCCGCTCGTCCAACTCCATTTCCATGAGCTGCTCCAGGTGCCAGTCTAGCATCTCCAGCGCGTCTCTAATCGACATCAGCACGCGCGCCTCGACCGTGCGCTCCCCCGGAACGCCCTTGTCCGCCTGCCCGCCCTTGCGCGCAACTTCCGCCTGCTTCTCGTACGCGTGCTGATATCCCAGCTGCTCGCACTCCTCGTGATCTTCCTCCTCCGCCGCTCCCCCTCCCCCGCCGCCGCAGCCGCCGCCGCCGCCGCCTGCGGCGCACCGGAGATCCACCTCCGCCTGCGCTCGCCCCGCCAGCTCCGCGCGCGGGGGAGGCTCCTCTCCGTTCGTGCGCGCGTCTTTGTCGCTCCCCCGCTCGCCACTTTTCACGACGCCAACGCCAGCGGCGGCGTCGTCTGCGGCGGCTTCGGCGAGGCGAATCGCGTCGACCGACACGCTGCCCTTGCCCTCCGCGTGCCTGCGCTTGACTCGTGGCGAATGGGTGGCGGGTCGTGGATGACGTGTGACGGGTGACGGGTGATGGGAGAAAAGGAAGACAAACAGTGGAGGGTGTGGTTGAGATACAAGAGAGAGAAGCTCTCGACCCATGGCGGATAACGGACGACGGATCAGAGGAAAGACGCAGAATAAAGGGACGAAGGAAGCTGTAAGCGGTACGCGGTGCGCAGTGAGAGGTGAGCGGCCGCGAGGCCGCAGCTCACCTGCGCGGAAGCGCAGCGAGCGGTGAGCGGGGAGCGGTGTAAGAGGTAGCCAGCCCAGCTCACCTGCGCGGATGCGCGGGCGTCTGCTCCTTTCTCCCGGCGCCGTGCTTGCCGCTCTTGCCGGGGAGCAGCTTCACCGACACTGATAGCTCGGGCACGTCGTGCAGCCTGGCGCGCGAAATGGGTGGGGAGCATCCGCGTTATAGGAACGGCGAATTAATGTATGCAAAATAAACAATTATACAAAATATGTAAACAAAAGGGAACAATGAATGAACCCATTTGCCCGGAAGCAACAGCCTCTAGCGATGCCGACAGCTCTGCTACGTCGAGAAGATACGTCGACAAAATATCCCAAAACTTTTTGTTTCTAATTTCTAGAAGCTGTGAGCTGAGCTACGTACCGCGGCTTGAGCTGGCCCGCGGCGAGGTAGAAATCGCTCTTCAGAATCCGCTCGATTGCGTCACTGACTTGCTCGTGCAGCTGCACGGCTCGTCGCACCATGGCGCCCAAATGCCGCTGCCCCATGGCTGTTTCCGCAAGCCCCTCAGTCTCGGACTTGGAATTAGATTAGTCGTTGAAACGATTGGATTTCGTTCGAAATGCGTGCGATCACTCGCTGCTAAGACCAAACATGTGCCGGTATGACGCTCTGAAAATAGTACCAATATTTTGCGTTTGCGTGATGTCGTACGCATCTGACAAGAGCCAGAGAAGGAGAGAGATAGTGAGTCGCGCAGTAGTGTTGGTGATCTCTACATAGGAAGGCATTTACAGAACATTATTGAGGAAGGCATTTAGGATCTAGGATCTACGCATAGCATTTCGCTGGACAGTTGGCGGACATGTTTGGGTTGGGGGCGGGTCGTCAGGAGGGCAGGTTTCTCGTCTCGCTTGTGCGATGCTGCCTACGACGAGGCGACCGGAGGAGCAGAGGCGATACGATTTGCTGGAATGCGTTCGGGTTAGACGGGCAGTTCGACGGACACTTTGACTGCTTTATTTTCGCGACCGATGTCTGTGCAAACATGATGCCATGCGTTTCCATGAGGCTGTAGAAAACATTGTAGTCTGAACATTCGCTTGCCTTTACGAAAACGAGAACTTGGTGGAATTGTATACACCCAGAAATGACGTCTAGATTTACAGTTGACTCCAAAATTTGGCGCCGGCTCGTTCTTACTGTGCGACCATTTCCTTGCCTTGCCTTGTTACCGTGATCCGTCAGCCAGCTACTCGAGCCGTTGTGTGAGGGGAAAATATGCCACACGTAATCAACAAGGGTCTCGATAATTTGTTTGGTGAAAAAAACGGGTACGGTCTAAGGAAAGGGTGTTTTCACGTGTTTGATAAAGCGTTTCACAAAATCAGTCACAATCAACTGGGAAAAAAAACGCGAATGGTCACAGATGAAACTCCCGCCCAAAAAAGATAGTGCCCAAAACGAACCTGGATGCATTTTCGGATGAAGCAGCCCTACACAATTCGCCAGGTGTTCAGGGCTGATCCGTTCCCAAACTGCATCCAATTCCGATTTGGGTTTTAGTACATTTAGAAGTTAGATGATTGGTTGGACGCGAGCGGGAATATTGTAGAGTTTCAAGATATTTTGGCGGTAGCTCCATGTGTGACCATTCGTGTGATTCTTTATCTATTGCCAGTGACTAAATCCGTGGCCCTGATTACCAAACCCGTCAGGAAACCCGATACAGTGACCGTACGCGTATTTTTGATAATATTCACGTTAAGGGGTCCCATGTTCGTTACGTGTGGCATATTCTCCCTTGTGTGAGTTGACGATGTTTTCGCATGTGGTCGAGCCCCTCCTCTCGACCGAGAATTCAAAAGCAGCACCCAGCTTTCCGTCAGTGAGATGAAGAGGCATGATTGGTGCATATTGAATAAGAGGGCGGGAGCTGACAGTCAGGAGGAGAAGTGCAAGGGGAATGTTGCGAGGTTCTGACACATTTCACGTCTGCAATAAGGAAGGACTCACTATTACACCAGCAGGAATGAGAATTGAAAACATACGATCCTTTCACACCCAAGAGCTGCATACGTGGGTGCACCATTTTCTTATATTGTCATAGATTTTCCTCGACCTGCCAGACACGTGCCAACCAATAATCAAGTTTCTATGGTGATTTTTTTTTGTGATTAGCCTTGCAAATCACAAAATATGCATTTGGTACGCACGAGAGTGGACTGATGCTTGAAGAGCCGATTCAATACACAAGTTATGCAACACATTAAACCGTTTCAAGACTAATAAACAAATTTATATCGTATCTATTTTCATCCCCAATTTTGTTTCGGATGAGAAGGCTCGAAATTTCAAACAGTTTTTGGCACAGTAAAATTTTATATGATAATATTCTGATTGTACCAATTTGTGTTAAGATTGCTTAGCTGAATCATTTTCTATATCTTACTTAGATGCGGCAAGCCAAGATACAATGGAGATCAGGCTAAGAGGGCAAATCACAATGATTTTTTGGGCCTCGTTGGTAGTCGTAAAAGTCCCTACTCTATATCAACGATAAAATGTAATAGTATTAAAATAAGACTGCGATGTCAAACTTATATGCTATATTTTGTGTAGGCTGTAGTGGGGTAGATAATATGGGGTACAACACTTTTAGGTTTTCCTACTTGTACCCACCTGTTTCCTAGTGCATTCATTCCTCGTTCTTTCACATGGTATAGAGCAGGTTCCCTAGTGGGAACGTTTCCTAGGGCCCACCACGATCGATTTTTTTTTCCTGCCCGGAGCGCGCTTCGCTCCTGCCCGAGTCGCGCCCCGTGTGCCTGCCCTCCCGTCGCGTCCCCTGCCCTTTGCGGCCCGTCGCGCTCTCTTACGACCCCCCCTAGCGGCCCCTCTCACGACCCCTCGCGGCCCCTTCGCGGCTCCCTCGCAACCCCTACGCGGCCCTTCGCGGCCCCGCTCACGGCCCTCCGTGGCCCCTTAAGCCCCTCGTGGCCCCTTCGCGGCCCCTCGCGGCCCCTTCTAGGCCCCGTCGCTGCCCTTCGCGGCCCCGTCGCCGCCCTTCTCGGCCCTGTCGCCGCCCTTCGCGGCCCCTCGCGGCCCTTCTCGGCCCCGGCGCCACCCTTCGCAGCCCCTTCTCGGCCCCGTCGCCGCCCTTCGCGGCCCATTCACGGCCCTTCGTGGCCCCTTCGCCGCCCTTAGCGGCCCCTTCTCGGCTCCTCCGCGGCCCCTTCTCGGCTCCCTCATGGCCCTGCCGCCCCACCGTCGCCGCCCCTCCAACAGTAGCCGTCGCCGCCCCTGCAGCAGCAGCCGTCGCCGCCCCTGCAGCAGGAGCCGCCATCGCCGGTGCCGCCGACAGCAGCAGCCGCCGCTGCCACTGCCGGGGCCGCAGCCGCCGACAGCAGCAGCCGCCGCCGCCACAGGCGGGGCCGCAGCCGGCGACACCAGCGGCGGCCGCCGCCGCCGACAGCAGGGGCCGCCGCCGCCGTCCCGGCCCTGCCATGCAGAGAGGAGTGGCACTCCTCTACCGCCCTATAGCGGCCTCGTCCCGGCCGGCGAGCCTCGGCCCTACCCCACCACTTGCGAACCTCTACCCACCTGCCCTGGTAAGAGCACCGCCGAGCCGCGCCTCTACTGTTGCTACTGCTGGTACTGTTGCTAGCCTACTGCCGCTGCTGTCATGGCTACGCCTAGCATTCTCACCTTTGATGCTGAGGGTCGGGCTGTCGACTTTGAGGTCTGGGTCGATGATCTACAGTTATTCCTGCAGTGCGATAGGAAAGACGGTCTCTCACTGTTCGATCTCACGTCTAGCGCCTCTCCTGCCCCTACTGCCGATGCTGACAGCACTGTTTGCTCACAGTGGGCCACACGCGATGCTGCTGCCCGTCTTGCTATCCGTAGTCACTTGCCGTCCACTGAGCGCGCGCACTTTATGTGAAAGAAGTAAACAGGAGTGAAATGACTAAGGAAAGATTGGGTACAAATACAACCCTAGAAACCCTGTACCCCATATGTGCTACCCCACTATAGCCTACAGAAACTATGTCATATAAATCTGACACACCCCCATAGGCAAAGTGGGGGAGAACAAGGGGTCACAAGACCAGTCAAGCAAAGCAAAGCAAGCTCAGGGTGGATCACAAAGTCACCACACAGTCCGAGCACAAGAGGAGGGCCAGAGGCCAGTTCACATGCAGGAGTACAGACACATATATAAAACTAGACAAGCAAGAGCAGGTATATATATATGTCACAGTACAAGTGAAGTCAAGAGGAGAGCAAGTGAGGCAAGACAGGCACAAGACCCAGCTGGGTGCAAAAGCGCTGATGGTCACAAGGCGCGAGTGCCTTGGTGAACACATCAGCAGTGTTGGCCTCAGAGGCCACGTACGCAAGTCGCAACTGACCACGCTGCTGCAGCTCACGAGCAAAGAAGTAGCGGAGAGCAATGTGCTTCGTTCTGTGCTCCAAGCGCTGCTCTCGACACAAGGCCAGCATGGCCTTGTTGTCTACGTACAGCACTGGAGGAGAACGAGGCGGCTCTCCAAGGTCAGTCAGCAGGTAGGTGAGCCAGCGAAGCTCCTGTGCAGCCATGGCCCCGGCGTAGATCTCAGCCTCACAACTGGAGCCGAGAACCGAAGACGAGCGAGTAGACCGCCACGAGACAGAGCCGGAACCAAGGCTGAAGGTGTAACCCTGTGACGACCGCTGCGTAGCCTGGTTGTCAGCCCAAGAAGCGTCCGCGTGGCCGGTAAGGACCACTGGACTCCGCCCTCCAAGCACTAGCCCCATGCCCGACGTACTGCACAGGTAGCGCAATACCCTCTTCGCTGCAGCCATGTGCTCTGGTCTGTGTCTCCCAGGAGCAACATAGCGTGCAAGAATGCTCAGAGGGTATGCAAGGTCAGGTCGTGTGCAGGTCATCAGGTACATGAGGCAGCCAACAAGCTCTGCATACGGACCACTCGACTCTACGGACTCATCCGAAGGCAGAGCTGAGAGTGAGTGGCGATTAGGCAGAGGAGTGGCCTGAGGCGAGGAGTACGTGAAGCCGAAGCGCTGAAGGACCTGCTGCACCATGTGTGACTGAGTCAAGGTAATGGTGCGGCGTGCTCTGTCCCGAGTGATGTGCAAGCCAAGGTAGCTGCGCAGTTCACCCAGGTCTGTGCACGTGTGTCTCTTCAGCAGCTCGGACTTCACGCAGGCGAGTCCAGCAGTGTCCGCTGTGGCAAAGACCAAGTCGTCGACGTACACGAGGATGTAGAACGGCGGCAGGGAAGTGTCGGTGCGAAGAAACAGCGACGGGTCAGCAGTAGAAGGAGCAAACCCAAGAGCCGCAAGCGTAGTCCTCAGTGTGTCGTGCCACTCACGCGGTGCCTGGCGGAGACCGTAGACTGGCCGTCGGAGGCTCCACTGGGTGCCAGGAGGGAAAGTCCCAGTGAAGCCAGGTGGACGGCGAAGCCAGATCTCCTCGTGCAGGCTACCCTGCAAGAACGCAGTGCTGAAGTCGAGAGAGTGAAGCTCGTAGTCGCACTGAGCG